ATTGTGGTGAAACTGGACATTGGGCTCATACCTATTTTACCCCAAGGCATCTTATTGACCTTTCTCAAGAATCCCTAAAAAGGGAGAATAAAGTGGAGACAAACCTTATATCTTTCAGTAATGATCTTGATGATAATATAGACGTATTCAATTTAGACATTGCTGATTTCTTCTCTAACCCAGATGGAAAACATTGGGTACCTTATTGATGATAGAATAGTCCAAACATAAATTATGTTATGGTTATTAATTATGTTTTCTACATTGTAAGTTTCACATATTCCTTTTTATAATTTTATGCATTTTTAGAACATTAAAGTTGATGATGGAATATTAATTTATGTTAAAGTTTATAATTTTATTGGAATTTATGTTTTTCATATTTTAGCACATCAATCCTTATATTTATTTTTAATGTTTTAAAGAATGGCTAATTCTATGGTCGACACCAACATTAATTATGCAGATATATGCCTTGTGGATAATGCTATGATGCATACGATTCTAAATGATATAAGATATTTTTCAAATTTAATAAGGAAGGAAGCATATATTAGTACTATATATGATGGTACAAAATTAATTGAAGGCTCTAGACGAGCTAGTATAATATTACCAAGAGAAATAAATTTGCATATTGATAATGCATTATATTCCTCTAAGTCTCATAGGAATTTATTAAGTTTCAAAGATATTTAAAAAAATAGATATCACATTGAGACGATGAATGATAAGGATGTTGAATATCTACATATCACAAAAAGTATCTCAAATGATAAATGTGTATTGGAAAGATTACTCGCATTCTCTTCCAGATTGTACTACACACATATTAGTACAATAGAATCACATATTATTGTAAACTAGAAGTTTACAAATCACATGTTTCTTGCTTGGCATGATCGATTGGGCCATCCTGGATCAATTATTATGTGAAAAAATAATAGAAAGCACATGCAAACATGACTTGAAGAGTTAGCAGATTCCTTAATCCAATAATTTTTCATGTGCTGCTTGCTCCCAAGGGAAATTGATTATCTGACCGTCACCAACCAAAATTGGGAGTGAATTGGTAAACTTTTCAGAGCACGTATAAGGAAATATTTGTAGGTCAATTCATCCACCATGTGAACCATTTAGATATTTTATAGTTTTGATCGATGCATTAACTAGATGGTTACATGTTTTTGTTTATTGTCATCTCACAACCAAGCATTTGCAAGATTGCTTGCTCAATTAATTCAACTAAGAGCTCATTTTCCTCATTATTCAATTAAGAAAATATGCTTTAACAATACTGTTGAGTTTACATCTCAAGCATTTAATGATTATTGTATGTCCATTGAAATTGAAATTGAGCATCCTGTAGCACATGTTCATATACAAAATGGACTTGCGGAATCATTTATTAAATGATTAAAATTGATTGCTAGAAAATTTCTCATGGAATCAAAACTCCCGATAACTACTTGAGGGCATGCAATCATGTATGCTGCAACATTAATTCGCATAAGGCCAATAAGCAATCAAAATTCCTCCCCTTTACAAATGATTTTGGGTCAAGAACCTAACAATTCTCATCTTAAAGTCTTTGGTTGTGCAGTTTATGTTCCAATTGCTCCACCATAATATACAAAGATGGGACCTCAAAGGTTAGGAATATATGTTGGATATGAATCTCCATCAATAATAAGATATCTTGAACTATTAACTGGATACTTATTGACAGCACAGTTTGCTTATTGTCATTTTGATGAATCATTTTTTTCCAACATTAGAGGGAGAGAAAAAATAGTTGGGAAAGGAAATTAGTTGGAATAAATTATCATTGTCTTCTTTAGATCCTCGTACAAAACAATGTAAACAAGAAATTTAAAATATAATTCAATTGTAAAATTTAGCAAATCAATTGCCAAACACATTTGCTGACCCAAAAAGGGTGACTAAATCACATATTTTAGCTGCTAATGCTTTAATCAAGATTGATGTCCCAATTGGACAATTCACTGTCAATGAGTCTAAGCCCCACTTGAAGTGTGGTAGACCTATCGTTTCAAAGATAAAAATTCTCAAAAAAGAAAAGGAGCTAAGAATTTAGATGGTTATGTCAAGGAAAGGAAACTCCAGAAGAAATATTGAACACAACAAAAGTCTTAGTTCTAGATGAGACACAAGTACCTAAAATAAATGAACATAATGAGATCTTAATAAAGTATGTTGTTGATGGAATTCGATAGGATAGAAATGAAGTTAATGCTAATGACAATTTTGCATATAATATAGCGCTTAATGTCATGAATGACAATGAGGATCAAGAACTAAAGTCTGTTAAGGAATGCAAGCAAAGAAATGATTGGCCAAATTGAAAAGATGCAATGGAGATAGAATTAAAATCTCTTGAGAAATGAAAAGTTTTCAGACCTATTGCTACACACCTAAAAGATGTGAAACCTATTGGATATAAATGGGTCTTTGTATGAAAGCAAAACGAAAGAGATGAGATTGTAAGGTATAAAGCATGACTCATTGCTTAAGAGTTTTCACAATGACCTAGCATTGATTTTGATCAAACATACTCACCTGTGGTGGACGCAACTATCCTTCATTACTTGATTAGTTTAGCAGCACAAGAGAGATTGGGTTTGTATCTAATGGACATTGTTATATCCTATTTATATGGCTCTCTTGATAATGATATTTACATGAGAATTCCAAAAGGATTCCAATTGCAACAAGCAAACAATGAAGGTTCTCGAGAACAATACTCAATCAAGCTAAATAAATCCCTTTATAGGTTGAAACAATTAGGCGCATGTGGTATAATTGCCTTAGTGAATACTTGATAAAGGAAGGATATAAGAATGATCCTATTTGTCCATGCCTTTTCCTAAAAAGATCTAAAAATGGGTATGTAATAATTGTAGTTTACGTTGATGACATAAATATTATTGCAACTCCTGCAAGATTCCAAAAGCTATTAATTGCTTGAAGAAAGAATTTGAAATGAAGGATTTAGGAAGGACAAAATTTTGCCTTGGATTACAAATTGAACATTTGAATGGTGAAATTTTTGTGTACTAAGAAGCATATATAAAATGTGTCCTAAAGAGATTTTATATGGACAAATCACATTATTTAAGCACTTCAATGGTTGTTAGATCTTTGGATAAGGACAAAGATCCTTTTAGGCCTCAAGTAGAGGATGAAAAACTACTTAATCCAGAAGTATCATATCTTAGTACCACTAGAGCACTAATGTATCTTGCTATTCATACACGACCAGATATATCATTTGCTATTAATCTATTAGCAAGGTGTAGTTCTTTACCAACACGAAGACATTGGAATGGAGTTAAACATATTCTGCGTTACTTTAGAGGTACTATGGATATGGGTTTATTATATTCTAATAGAAGCAGGATTTAATGGGCTATGCAGATGCAGGATTCATGTTAGATCCTCATAATGGTCGATCTTAAATGAGCTACTTGTTTACTTGTGACGGCACCACTATTTCATGGTGATCTATGAAACAAATGATAGCTGTCGCATCTTCTAATCATATAAAAATTTTAGCAATACATGAAGCAAGCCAAGAATGCTTTGGTTAAGATCTGTGATCCATCACATCCAAAGCACCTGTGCTCTTTCTTCTAGAAAAATGATCCCAACAATCATATGTGAAGATAATTCTATATGTGTTGCCTAGTTGAGAGAAGGATATATTAAAGGAGAAAGAACAAAGCATATCTTGCTAAAATTCTTCTTCACACATGATATTCAAAAAAATAGAGAAATCTAAATTAAACAAGTTTGTTCCAGTAATAATCTAGCAGATTTCTTGACCAAAGCACTTCCTACTTCAACTTTTGAGAAGCTTGTATACAACATCAGGGTTTACAAGCTAAGAAATATAAGTGTTATCATCACCAAGGGAAGTAAAAGTTATGCTGCACTCTTTTTTTCTTAGCTAAAGTTTTGTCCCACTGGTTATGAACATCAAATAGTAAAGCTAAAATCTCTTGCAATCTTGCTCGACTCAAGCCATCACACACTAATGCCAACAGAGGAGGGGAGACGAGTCAGACCACAAAAGGGGGCACCACATAGAGGTAACTGGCTGTGGCTTATGGCTAGCAATTAGCAAAGGTGAACCTCAAACAAATGAGAAGCAGAGGGGAGGAGACTGGAAAGGTAGCTCGGTCAGGGTCATTTGCTTAGTTAGGGGCTTAGGTCACACGCACAGCACGAGGTTCAACATTAAAGGCTTCACAATTCACTCATAGTCACAGTCTTCACTTTAGGAGTTAGGCCCAAGTTTCTTAGTTTTTGAATTTTTTTTAAAATGTCACCCCAGGTCCAGCTGAAAGTAGTAGAGCCCAGGATAAGAATGGAGAAGAACTGAAGAGTTTTATTAAAAAAATAATTATATACAGGCGGGTACTCGGGTAAATTGCACACCTTAGTTGTAATTACCTATCTCATTTTAGTCATTATTAGAAAAAAAAAAAGGTAGTTATTACTTAAATTAAAATAATTATTGATATTTACAACACTTGAATTTCAGTAATTAAAAAATTTGCAAAGCAAAACTTGTCATTTACTATCCTGTTTTGATCATTACTAGAATAAAAGTAGCATTACTTAAATCAAAGTAGTTTTAAATTGGGGTCATTATATCATTTCACAAAAAATGTTAATGTCAACAAGGTTCCTAAAAAATACTATCATATTTCTCAATACTTTATTGTTATTTGCATATTTCAAAGGAAATTTTTTTTCATTTTCCTTATTATTATAACAACATATTAAGCTATTAACAACTTTATTTAAATTAAAATTTAATTATTTAAAATTAGGTGAATATTTTTAAAATGTCAAAGTTATAATCAAGGATAAATTTATTATTTTGAGGAGATTTTTTATTTAATTAGGATGGTATTTAATTTGTTAAGTATATAAACAAAGGGCATTTAGAAAAAAAATATTTTAGATAAAGGTCTTATATTAAAAAATATGAGAAATATTCTTATAACAAGGATAGGACAGATTAAATTACAAATAACTTTTGTATGTTCTTAATAGTCAAACATTTGACCTTAGTCCAAGGTTAAGAATAAAGACCTGGCCTGTCATTTTCATGAAGCAACTTTTCTACGTATACAAGCTGGAGATGCTGACTCCGTTTTATTTTTTTTTTATTGGTATTTTCAAAAGACCCTTTAAAAAAAACTGATAATATTACAAAATAACATATTTGCGCGTCACAAATTAAACGATGTTACGGTAATTCATACGAGCAACGCCTAGAGCTCTCAATACTGCCACAGTGAGACCTCAGTATCAACCTCCACGTCATTCCAGCTCCAACCATATGGTCTAAAAGAGGGTGGCGATCGGAGAGGTTCCTCCGCCATATTCAACAACAAATGACGGAGCTCGTCAAACTCCGTCGACGCCTCCGGAGTTTGATCGATGTACCTCTCTTCTTCTTCACAGTAATCCTGCAAAATATTCGACGGCGACGCATCTCCGATGACTTCGTCGTCGACCGTTGTACTACCGCGACTGCTGCAAACTTCAACATCATCACTATTGCTACTCCGGCCGAATTCCTGAGCAGCGAGAGCGGCCACGCTCCTAATCTCCGCCGCATTGGTTGATTCCGGCAGAGTCAACCTCCAAGACGAGTCAGCGAAATTAAGGCAAGCCGACTTCCCACGAAGAGCCAGTGCCGCCACGTCATGAGCACGAGCGGCCATCTCCGCCGTGGAATATGTTCCGAGCCAAATTCTTGTCTTATCATTCGGCACACGAACCTCGCAAACCCACTTGTCGTTGTTCCTCCTTCGTACTCCTCTGTACACGGGATGCCTCGTCTCCCTGAAAACCCTCCGTCCCGCTCGCTTCTTGGGTCTCTCCGACGCCAATAACAACATCGGCTCGCCACCACTCGACAAACTTCCCTCTGAAGAAGAATCGAATGTGTTTTGTCTGAAAAAATCCATCAAATTTGGATAAGATGATGTGAGAAAGTAGTGAGCAGGCGAGTGTTGAGTTGAGTTGGTGGTGGGGAGAGTGAGGAGTTATATATAGTTTGGGTTAAGGAAGAGATGAGTGGGACCTACTTGGGGTTTGGCTACAACGTGGACGTGGACACGGACACGGACGCGGAAATGGTTGGATTATAAGACAGTCATCAGCCCCCACGGTTACCACTTGCGTTTGATAGTTGCTACTGCCAGCTGAGTTCTGCTCTACTGGTATCGTTTTAATTGCTACTGCCAGCTGAGTTCTGCTCTACTAGTATCGTTTTAATTTGGCCCTATCGTTTTAATTTGGCCCACGTGTTAAACACTGATTCCATTTGTACGGTCATGATAACGATCATGTAATATGGCGATGCAATAAATTTAAATTAAGGTTATGCATAGGTTAAGCATTCCAATTTAGATTTGCATTTGAACCAAATTTTTATTTGAATACATAAAAGTATATGAAATCCAAAGATATGTTTTATTATAATTTTTTGTAATTTAAAATTTTATCTATATTCTACTTATTTAAAATTTTAACTTCTTCGACTCTTGTTTTTTTTCATGTTTTTATATTGGTGTCTTTATTAGTTATTACTCCTGTCTCTCTTTCATATCTCATTTTTGCCTCTAACCAATTCTCTCTTTCATATCTCGTTCTTGCCTCTAACCAATTAAAAATATAGATAAGCTCATTATTTACTCTCAATCTTTTGTTTTTCCTTTGAATTTTAGCTTGTCTGTCCTTTATCTTTAAATTTTTTTTCACACTATCCAAATAAAAGATTTTAAATATATGAAATTAAAATGTAATATTTTAAATATATAATTTTAAATAATTTAAATTTAAATCCATAAATCAATTTTAGTTTGTGTAATACTCCCCCAATCTTATATTCATAAATATCTTGGGGGTAAAATTTTAGTTCTTTTTTATGCCAGATGGGTTCGGCCAGCGTCTGAGTGAGTGAAATGTCGTAGATGGCGCATTCTCCCATCTAAACCTTCAGGCTGCCTGTGGGGGTCTATTGCACAATTCTCAGGGGCACTTTATTCATGGCTTCACGTGCAGGTTGGAAGGAGAAGACTGTTTAACTGCTGAATTGTGTGCTTGTACACATGGTATGAAGCTTGCTTGGGATGCTGGGTTTAGAAAAGTGGAGCTTGAAACCGATTCACTTGAGGCGATTGATCTCATTCTGCATGAGTTCAGCGACACCCACAGGGACTATGGTATTGTCATGGAAGTGAAAGCCTTGATCCAGAGGATCGAATTGAGATCCGAATAACCTACGTTTGTCGAAGGAGGAATGCCACTGCTGATTATCTCGCGAAGCTTGGTCTGCATATGATGATGGGACTTTCTTTCTTTTCTAGTTTTCCTACTGATTTAGTTGCCTTTTTGGCTCGAGACTTGGATATGGCTAATCAAGGCATAGGCCAACTCGTGAGCCTTGGCTTCGTTTTGTATCAAAAAAAGAAAAAAAAATATTTCTTTTTTAAAGGCACTAAATAAACTATTTTAAAAAAAATAATTTGTAATTATATATATGTAAGCAAATTATTTAGAGAACATAACTACATAAATTTTGAGTGATAAAAATTATTTAATTAATTCTAAAGTTATTAATCTTTTAATAAAAATATAAATGTATTTAATATCATCAGGGTTAAGATACAAAAATGCTTCAATGTTTTTACCTAGGCACACCCCATATCTTAAAGTATTTTGGCACAAATTCACCCCCAACATTTTTTAAATTGATACAACCTCACTCTATCAATAGGATTTGACCATGTTGACTATTAAGTCAAGAATTTTAACTATCAACTATTTAGATGGCTTGCCAGATACTCTAGCCCTCCACATGTAACAAATCTCTCCTCTACCCCTTTCACTTTCCTCTTCCATGTCACCTAGATTGTGTTCATCTTCCTCCCCCTGCCCTCTTAGCTTCTTCTTCCTCCTTCTCCAAACCTAGATCCGAATGACAGTGAAGACTCCCCTTTCACTTCTCTCCTCTAAGCTCATCAAATCTTGTTGATGAAGATGGTGAGGATGGAATTGAGAACCTCACATGAAGCATGGTGATGAAACTTAGAGCAATTGCGCCAATGAAGACAATGACTGATGCTCATGTATGGCTCGACACCTACGATTGGGATGGAGATATGCCCATGAGCTTCATTGTTCCTTTGATTTTGTGTGGCTCAATACCTTTGTTTCTAGCTTCATGGGATTATGGGTTTATGTGTTTCCTTCAATGGCTTTGAGATTTGTTGATTCTGAGTTAGTTTCAGATGTTCCTTTAATGGCTTTGAGATTTATTAATTTTGGGTCTTCGGGTTTCAAATTTGCATTGTCTATTTGTGCTTCCTGAAATTTGTTCTTCTGGGTTCAAAATTTGCCCTTGAAAGCATTGGAATTGCTTGCTGAAATTTTTCATTGAAAAAATAATGCTTGCTAAAAATTTCCATTCTTGATTTGTGATAGGTATTGTTGTCTCAATTCTTTATGGATTTTATATGTTTTTTTATTTAGTTTAACTTTGTTGTTTCAATTCTTCAGTCTTTACAATATGCTGAAATATATATATATATATATATATATGTTTTTTATTTCTAATCTTCAACTCTTTTGGATCTTCCAATCTTCATGATGTGAGAGATGTAACATCTTAAGTTTTCAACTTGAAATTTGAGTCTTTAAGAAGGGTAAATTGGTCAAATTTATGATTTATAAATTAATAGTGTTTTTAGGATACTAATAAACTTATTTGACATTTAAATAGCCTTGGAAATAAGCTAAGATGGTATACAGGTCAACCGGGCTCGAATGGGAGAACAAAATGGCATGTGGCACTTACTATGCCATATGCCACAACACACTCATAATGCACCATAGTGCAATGCCAAATTCTAGCTTAAACCAGACGCAAAATGCATCTAATTTCAAAGAGAAAAAGAAGGAAATAAGAGAAAGTGAAGGAGGGAGAACTTGAGGCTATTAGGGCTTGACCTGGGGAGCTATTTTGGAAGTATTTAGAGCAAGATTCATTCTTGGATAAGTTTCCTATATCTCCCTTTCCTATTATGCGAATTTCTATGACTTCAAGATAATGTGAGGCTTGATTTTGTCTCTCCTTGGGTTGTAACCAAACCCATTGCCTTAGTTAAGGTCTTAGGATGTTAAATCCAGCTTCTAAATCTAAGTTTATGGATTGTGTAGTGATTTAGAGTTTGTAGTTATGGTTTGGATGAACCCTAAGTAGAATTTAGGTGTTTAGAAGTAATGTGAGTAAAGGAGTAGTGTAATTTAAGTGTTTAGGTGTTAAAGGAAATTAATGAAGTTTGTTGGAAGGGTTGATGTTGATTAAATGAAATCTTTGGATGTAATGGGTATCTAAAATTTAGCGAGTTTAAGGTGTTAATTGTAGTAATAATTGATAATTATTGCATAATCATGTAGATTAAGTATTGCTCAAGTGTTGTTGAGCTTGTGGACTGTGTGAAGCAAACGTTAGATCATGATAACCCTTTTTGTGCGATAAAAGGATTGAGGTAATGAAATGATTTACTCTATTTAATTAAGTGTTTAATATTTGTAAGTAAATACGTAGTTTGCATACGTGTGTTTTGAAAGCATTGTATATTACGAAAGAAGGATTTTGTGCATTTGAAATGATTTTAAAACAATGAAATTGTAAAAGTTTATTATATGAGTAATTTATAGTTTTAATATAAGTATGTGATAATTATGAGAAGTATGAGCATAATTATGATAGGAGGTAGGAGTTCACCTATAAGAAGGAATAGTAGAAGTTTATATGACATTCATCTCCTTAGTATCTAATAAGGTACGGTATTAGAGATTATCTCCTTAGTACTTATGTGGGGTACAGTATTGGAGATTTATACTTCTGAGAATCAATGTAATGCAGTGTTGGAATAACAACACCCTAAATCTTGTATGATAATGGAAAATCATAGTTCAAAAATGAGATAGGACACCTTTACCAGGTGATTCTTCTACCGAAGGTGAGCTCGAGCAACTGTGTATGTGCGCCTAGTCCAATAGAGCCTTTGCTTTCAGTAGGGGTGATATAGAGACTCGGATAGTAGAATGATTATGCTTGAGTGAAAATGACCTATAATTATAGGAATGTTATATTTGAATATGCTAAATGGGTGTTTTTACCTATATGACCTTTACTTGCTTATAGTTATGCATGTTGATTGATAGTTGTAAAGTATTTATTACTAAGATGTTTATCTCACCTTGTGGTTATATTTTGAAGGTGAGAACTCCGATAGGGGCAAAGAAAAGGAAGAGACTAACAAGGATTGAAGAGCTTCATTTGTATATCTTTTCCTTTTATGTTTTGGTAGTGTAATGAATAGCTTATGAATTCTATGCCAACTTAGGATCACTCATTGTCTTATATTCACTTGCATGAGAATTGTAATGTATGAGTATGTATCTCGACCTAGAATGATATGTCTGTGTAGAAATTGTTGTGTGAAGTTGAAATATTAGTGTAAGTGATGATTTTGTAATGTTTTGCATGTGTGGATGGCCAAAGCATTATTTGAGATTATATTATTACCCCTTGATATTGTTATGAAATCAGGGTTTTGATGGCTAGATTGTGTATATATAGTTGTTGTTGGGATATAATTGGTTTATCAAGTTGTGTGTGATCCATTTGAGTTGGTCCAAGTGGTTCCAAAGCTATTGGCACTAGGTTGTGAGTTTTAGACAACCTTATGTGTGTTATGAGTTGAAAACGAACCATTTTGAATTTAGGTGTCCAATTTTTAAATGTTTGAATATTTGGATGTGAGACTAGTGTCAATAGTTAGAGGGCTCGAACAGCTACGTGTGGATGCTTGAATCGCTCAAATCGGATGATGAAATAACACGCTCTAGAAGTTAAATTTGGAGTGTTGTCATGACAGTTGCTTACTATTATGATAGCAGCGACATGCCACGATGTAGGTTATGTGCAC